ACAATATGCTACTCAAAAGTTACAAGATTCTTTAAAATTACTCTGAAAATTATAAAGAAATGTAGCGATATCAGAAAATTTTATTAATATTGTTGAATATGTACGCCTGTACTTTTGAATAAAGTATTTTCAAAAGTGTACTTTTATACTTTAATACTGATTAGATGTTTGACCAAGTAACTTGTAGTTGAGTAAGATTTGACTATAAATATCAATACTACTACTGCTGAGAACTTTGTCCACCACTGCTAGAAATGCAAAAAAAAAAAAGAAATTTTAATACATCATATAGGAAATTGGTTATTTTATTCAAAGAATTGCAGCTTGTTGCATAAATTTAAATTTTAGCTAAATCGGATGAATTTTTTTCTTTAATTGGGGGTGATATTTATTTCCAGTTTCTAATCTAATAAGTATATTGAATATTAGTGGGAATTTTGAGGTGATTTAGTGGAAATTAGATGGATTTATTGGGAAAACTGAAGAGATGCTAAAACCTGAATTACTGTTACTGACAGAACAGATGTGTACCATGTTCACACAATGATCTGCACAGATGCTCACCGGTGCTCTGCTCATGACCAAACAGACCTGAAAGGCAGGTAATGAGATGCTAACGGGGCTGACAAATGGAGAATCAGTTCCAGTGTGTGGGATTGATGCTGCCCCCTGAGGGACCCCGTTCACCGCTGCTGTCTGCTCTGTTAAACGTCCAGCTAACACCACAGGCTCGTGTGAGAAAACACAAAGGTCACTCGGTCGATGTGCCTTCTGACGCTCCCTCGTCCATTTTCAGCGTGTTTGGATCCATCTGATTATCTGGTGGAGAATGTTCTTCCACTGCAGTGATTCTTTTTCATCTGTCTCAGCTGGATGAGCAGAACGAATGCAGAAATTGAGGCTGCTCACATTAAATGATCAGCTTGATCATTGTCATGATGGTCATTCTTGTTGACATAATGTCAGTAAGACCTCTTTTCCCCTTGTAAATATAAGATTTTGAGATAAATGTTTTAACTTACTAGCTTTTAATTTTGCATCTACAATGAACATAAAGGTATTAGCAAATTATTCCTAAATAACTGCCTCCATTGGTTTCCGGCTTCTTTCTTGGCAGGACAAACATGATAATCTCCTTATCTGTAGTGGTCTGAAGTGTCATGTTTGTCTTAATTATTAGAAGATCCTATAAAGGAGCATGTGCCTTAAGAAATCAGCCAAGCAGGGAACAAGACCCCTAATAATGCCCCCCTCTGAGACAGCAAACAGCTGTCAGATCAGGCCGGGCAGGCATCCAGAAACAGACTGAGGAATTATATAGAAGATTACATGTCTCAGCTAAGGATCCCCCCAATGGAGCTAAAGCAGAGGAAAGACAGGCCTGAGGAGAACAATGTTTCTCCTGAGTCAAGATCAATTTACAGATGCACTAGATTTTTCAGTTTTTATTGTGTCTGTTTTATTATATTGTGTTGTATGTTTTTGTGTGTTATTAAAAACAGAAAAATAATTTAATTGTGAAAAAAAAGAGTACATCTAGTGCTTTCCCCCCTCAAAAAAGAAAAAAACAAAACAGATTTCTTGAAGGCATTAATTTAATTGTACTTCTTTATATCAAATGGGGAGTACGTTTCTTTCGCCTGTGGTTTTCAGTAGGGTTGTAACCAGCTTTATGATATGATGTTGTATCAACTTACTTACTTGGATGACAACAAAATATTTGCCAATATCACAAAGTTTCTCGCAATACTATTTTTATTCAGTTCAATTCATAAGTCTGTGGACAATATGATCCAATATCCAATACCACAATTATTTAAATTATAACTAACAAAAAACATAACAAAATGCAAATATGATTTAACTATTTTATTTCTAAGCTTTTAAGGCGGTGGGCATTTATATAAAAAACAGCAATCTGCTATATAGAAAATAAAATTATATTAGATCAACTTTTCGCTACAATCTCTTGCCTTGTAGATTTTCTATATAAAGGAGAATTTTAGTGATTATTTATGAATTTATCAATCATATCATTTTATTTTTGTGCATTGGTGTATTGCTACACCAAAAATAAAGCCATGTGTTTTAAAATAGTGAAGAAACAAAGCAATTAACAAGAGAATAACAATAAGATTGTGAATTGATTTTAGCAGGAGACATACTGTATGTTTAGTTTGGTCATTTTAAAAAGTCACCCAAAAAAGCTAATATTTATTTTGGTCTCACTATAGAGAGGGTTAGGTAAAGGCTTCAGTTTTTTTGTTTGTTTTTTATGAACAAAAACATTTCCCCACACTTTTAAATCAGTACTGTATATTGTTTGTGATTATCTTACTTCAGAGTAGCTAGAAGGACATGCTAAATCTTAGAGACACATTTAACCCTCAGTGAGGTCTAGAAGTAGCCTGGGTGCCAGTCAGAACTTAGTCCCGCCCACAAGGTTTGAGTTCGGGGAAGTTCGGTCTGGCTCTGCTCCATAGTAGCGCGAGTATTATCGCCCACTGTCAGGCGATCCAATCAAATTGTCAGGGCGGGCTTTATACGATGATGGACAGATGATCAAGAGTAACGTAATCAACCACGTGACCAAAGCGCGCTAGGGTGACAACAATAATGGCTGCCGCTCAGAGGCGTGCACAGACATTTTGGGGGGCAGGTGCTCAGGAGGGGGGGGGGAGGGCACTTTTTAGCGCACGTGTAACACTTAATTCTAAAAAAAAATAAACGCATGTTGAATGAAATTTGACTTTTATTTGTAACATTCTCTAAACGTGAGTTTTCAATGGAAAAAAGTCACATCACCAACAGAACAGACTAAAGCATACTTCTTTCATCTGGCTGATCTCCCTGTTTTCCCTCACCCATCTGTTCTCCCTCATCCGTCTTTTTCTGTCTCTGTGTCTTACCTGAACTCTTCCTCATCTCCTGTCCTGGTAGATGTTGATGGTATAGAGCTTCCCTGCTGTGACTGGCTACAATATATTAATAATAACCATCATGACAATAATAATGATAATAATGATGATAATAATAATAATAATAATAATAATAGCTTTAACAAATATGCCACATTAGTTTAAATAATGGGCTATTAGGGCAACATGACTGGAAGTCTTGTCACGTGGATATGACTTATGGTAGCCTACAAAATAATAGCTATTTTAATACCTGCTGCACAAACCACTTAAAAATAAAATGTGAACAGCTTTTAAGATTTTTCAATATGATTAACCCTCCTTTCTTGGTATTGTGCTGCAATTACTAAATCAATATACAATTAAGACAATAAAGAGACCAAAATGTGTTAATTTATGTTGCCTAACAAAACCTATACAACAGAAAACGTTTGTCTTAACACATAGATTTGTACAGAAGAGGATTAGGGCCACTGAAAAAAAAAAGTTAACTGATTTTTAAATTTTATTTCAGTTTAACATGGGAAAAAAGTCAGAATTCTGACTTTTTTATTGTCAGAATTCTGAGATTAAAGTCAGAATACTGAGCAAAAAGTCAGAATTCTCAGCAAAAAGTCAGAATTATGAGAAAAAAGTTAGAATTATGAGATTAAAGTCAGTATTCTGACTTTTTTCCCATACTAAACTGAAATAAAATTTAAAAATCAGTTAACTTTTTTTTTTTTTTCAGTGGCCCTAATCCTCTTCCGTATTTGCAATTGCAAACTCTACCAAAATTATTTGTAGCCTATGTGGTCGTCAGTGACTTGGGCTACAGTGTAAAACTTTGAGAATCAGAATCAGGTTTATTGCCATTGTTAGTGAAGGAGTTCACAAACTAGGAATTTTTTATGGTACAATCGTGCAACATGAAACATATAATATGGAATAGGTAAATAAAATTATAAAAATATCTAAAAACTGTGGGTATACGTCATGCAATAAAATAGACTAATGTATACACTTAAGATAAAAAATATGGATACAAAATATAAAAAGTAAAATAGCATCTTACAAGAAGACAACTAGTTTATCTGGTGACCAGTTGGCAAAATGCGTGTTTGGTGCTGCTGAATGAGACATTTTAATGCACAACAAAATGATTCTGCTTGATCTGTATATTACCTGGCTAATGGGGCACGGGAGAAGCAGCCTGTCAGCGACCGTTCCTGCTATCTGAAAACTGCTATGATGCTGCGCATCTGGCATGCCCTGCGCGCGACCGAGCGAGTTCACGTGACAAAGGAAGAGAGAGAGGCTGTTCGTTCACCACTCTCAGAGCGTTTTTGATGATTTTTTTTAGAAGCACTTTTACTATTTATTTTTATATATTCGGGCAAGTTGGTGTTTCTTGTTATTACATTGAAAATTTTATTTGCCACAAAAATATCTGTATTTTTTAATCTTACAAAGGTAATAAAGCCTTGTCTTGGATTCCAATAACACTATTGGCTTGATAATTTGATTTTCAAAGTATTTCACTGAGTGCTCTATAAAGGTTTAATGGAAAATATAAGTCAGGTTTAAACTCTGATAACATGTCTATGGAAGAGGATTAGGGCCACTGAAAAAGTAAACAAAAATTAACTGATCTTTAGATTTTTTTTTTTCAGTTTAATATGGGAAGAAAGTCAGAATTCTGAGTTTTATCTCAGAATTCTGACTGAATTCTGACAACTAACAAAGATGTTAGCATCAAGCCATAGCCATGTCTGTTTTAGAGACTAAACTACCTCTCTTGTTTTAATGAGATTAAAGTCAGAATTCTGAGAAAAAAGACAGAATTCTGACTTTTTTTTTTTAGACTAAGTCTTAGACAGGTTTATTTTGTACACACAAGTGTAAACAAAAATAAATATCTAACATTTGAGTTTTTTCCCATATTGAACTGAAATAATATGTAAAAATCTGTTAACTTTTTTTTTTTTTTTCCAGTGGCACTAATCCTCTTCCGTACAGGTCAGGTCACTTCGTATGTGAAGCGCTGCTAAAATTACCGCGATGAATCAAATCCAGCCAGATTCGCCCCCTCCCCGTTGTGCGCATGCTCAGAGCCGTGCAGGGAGCTGTCCGCGGCAGTCGGTGCTGAAGCGTCTCAACCACAGCAGCCTCAGCGGACAGAGCTACAGAAGACATGGAGGAAGAACTGAAATGCCCCGTTTGTGGTTCCTTCTTCAAGGACCCAATCCTGCTCCCCTGCTCCCACAATGTTTGCCTGCTTTGCGCCCGGAACATCAGCGTCCAGACCCCGGACGGGGAGACCCCGGTTCAGAGCCGTGCCTCCGGTAGCTCCGACTATGATTACCTGGACATGGATAAAATGAGTCTGTATAGCGAGACGGACAGCGGGTACGGCTCCTACACTCCCTGCCAGCTCAAGTCTCCAAACGGGGTTCGGGTTTTTCCGCCGGTCGTCCCTCAGCGGAACTGCTCTCTCACCTGTCCGCTGTGCCACCGGAGCGTCTCGCTGGACGAGCGGGGGCTCCGGGGGTTTCCTCGGAACCGGCTTCTGGAGGCCATTGTGATGCGGTACCAGCAGACCCGCGGCATCCCGTGCTCTTCATCCTCCTCCGCGGTGAAGTGTCAGCTGTGCGACCGCAACCCGGTGGTCGCCACGGTGATGTGCGAGCAGTGCGACGTCTACTACTGTAACGCCTGCCAGCAGCGGTGCCACCCGTCCCGCGGTCCGTTGGCCAAACACCGCCTGGTACCGCCGCCGAACCAAGCGGCTGGTGGAGCGGCGAGCGGCGGGGGTGGACAGCAGCCTTCGCTCACCGCGCGGAAAGCAGGGACCTGTGTGGATCATGAGTCGGAAAACTTCAGCATGTATTGCTGCAGCTGCAAGGCTCCGGTGTGCGTCATGTGTTTGGAGGAGGGGAAACACGCCAAGCACGACGTTAAACCGCTGGCTGTGATGTGGAAGCAACACAAGGTAAGCAGATACACGTTTAGAACAATTCACTTCAATTCAATTCAGTTTATTTCTATAGCCCCAATTCACAACACGTCATCTCAATGCACTTTACAGTTCACCAGATCATACAGTCAAATTGATTCAAAGTTTTCTATGTAAGGAAAACCAGTAGATTGCATCGACTCATTGACTCAAATGCAATCCCTCACACTAAGCATGCTTGTAGCGACAGTGGAGAGGAAAAACTCCCTTTTAACAGGAAGAAACCTCCAGCAGAACCAGGCTCAGTGTAAGCGGCCATCTGCCCAGGCCGACTGGGGTTCAAGGAGGCAGAAGCAGAAATACAAAAAACAATTGTAAAAGGCGGCCCCATCCAGGAAACTCACAGCCAGGCAGACGAGTTCTGAGCCAGCTCCCATGTAGGAGGATGAAAAAAGCACATCCAGCCAGTCGCAGTCAGAGAAACAGGAATTTACTGAAAAACAGGCAGATCTCAAACATCTATAAACAAAGGTGTTGATTGCAGCCGCACAGCTGATATTTCTCTCCAGGATGGGGTCACAGCCAAACAGGAACAGATGAGGCAAAGCTATGAGAAAAAGCAGGGAGAGCGTAATGTTACAGATTAAACATTAGTTCAATCTCAAAGAACTAAGAGAAAAAACTGTTATAGTTTAAGAACCTTTGATATTCTGACGGATATCTGCAGGGTTTTCAATCATTTTTGAGAACACTGAGTTTTTAGCATTATTTATTGACTTTTGCCTGTTTTTCTTACTTATTTGGGGTTAATATATAAATCAAGTTCCTTGCTTTCGATACCTTTCTCCAGAGAGCAGCTGCATTCTCATTTTCCAAGCAAGACTAAAAAACTGAACATGGAAATCATATGTTTACTTAGCTTTTTTGTGCAAAATAAAGTTATTTCCAAAAAGTTATGTATATATATGCACATATACATGTATATATACATATATAGCCCTATATATATATACACTCACCGGCCACTTTATTAGGTACACCTGCCCAACTGCTCGTTAACACTTAATTTCTAAGCAGCCGATCACATGGCGGCAACTCAGTGCATTTAGGCATGTAGACATGGTCAAGACAATCTCCTACAGTTCAAACCGAGCATCAGTATGGGGAAGAGAGGTGATTTGAGTGACTTTGAACGTGGCATGATTGTTGGTGCCAGAAGGGCTGGTCTGAGTATTTCAGAAACTGCTGATCTACTGGGATTTTCACGCACAACCATCTCTAGGGTTTACAGAGAATGGTCCGAAAAAGAAAAAACATCCAGTGAGCGGCAGTTCTGTGGGCGGAAATGCCTTGTTGATGCCAGAGGTCAGAGGAGAATGGCCAGACTGGTTCGAGCTGATAGAAGGGCAACAGTGACTCAAATAACCACCCGTTACAACCAAGGTGGGCAGAAGGGCATCTCTGAATGCACAGTACGTCGAACTTTGAGGCAGATGGGCTACAGCAGCAGAAGACCACACCGGGTGCCACTCCTTTCAGCTAAGAAAAGGAAACTGAGGCTACAATTTGCACAAGCTCATCGAAATTGGACAATAGAAGATTGGAAAAACGTTGCCTGGTCTGATGAGTCTCGATTTCTGCTGCGACATTCGGATGGTAGGGTCAGAATTTGGCGTCTACAATATGAAAGCATGGATCCATCCTGCCTTGTATCAACGGTTCAGGCTGGTGGTGGTGGTGTCATGGTGTGGGGAATATTTTCTTGGCACTCTTTGGGCCCCTTGGTACCAATTGAGCATCGTTGCAACACCACAGCCCACCTGAGTATTGTTGCTGACCATGTCCATCCCTTTATGACCCCAATGTACCCAACTTCTGATGGCTATTTTCACCAGGATAATGCGCCATGTCATAAAGCTGGAATCATCTCAGACTGGTTTCTTGAACATGACAATGAGTTCACTGTACTCAAATGGCCTCCACAGTCACCAGATCTCAATCCAATAGAGCATCTTTGGGATGTGATGGAACGGGAGATTCGCATCATGGATGTGCAGCCGACAAATCTGCGGCAACTGTGTGATGCCATCATGTCAATATGGACCAAACTCCCTGAGGAATGCTTCCAGCACCTTGTTGAATCTATGCCACGAAGAATTGAGGCAGTTCTGAAGGCAAAAGGGGGTCCAACCCGTTACTAGCATGGGGTACCTAATAAAGTGGCCGGTGAGTGTATATATATATATGTATATATATATATATATATATATATATATATATATATACACATATACACATATATATAAATATATATATATGTAAATATGTATATACATATATATAAATATATATATGTTTATATATATATATATATACATATATATATATATATATATATATATATATATACATATATATATATATATATATACATATATATATATATATATATATATATATATATATATATATATATATATATATATATATATATATATATATATATACATATATATATACATATGAAGCTAAGGCGGAAATTCAACTGAAGAAACTCTGATTACTTCCATTCAATCTGAGGCTGATCCGCCTCCGATGCAGCCAACCCGCTTCAAGCCACTTTCCTCGATGCCCAATCATCTTCCAGCACTCTACTTAAAGCCACTCCAAATCATCTCTAGGCCTGCCCTTCAACAAGCGCAAGATCCATCGCTCCTATGTCGGACTTTGATTCAGACAACCCACCTCCATCCCCTTCTCCACCATTGTAGTAAGCTCATCCGACTCCTCCTCGATGCTACTTCAACCTCACCTCCAGTGTGTACTCCCTCCAGACTTTCATGGAGTTCCCTGTCACTTTAAACGGTCCGGCAGAAGACCGCCACATTGAGCCTGGTTCTGCCAGAGATTTCTTCCCAAAGGGGAGTTTTTTCTCTCCACAGTCACTTCATGCTTGCTCTTCATGGACAGTTTATGCAAACTTTGTTCATTCAGTGTCATCTAACTCAAGCATCACCCTGTATACCAGCCTCTATGGATTAACCAAACTTCATCTATCTAAACTCCACCACCAGTTTCAGGCCCGGGGGAAATATCCTTATTCTCATACATCAGTTTATCTGCATTAAAGTATAAATCAGCGTTTATGTTTCCTGCCGAGGCCTGAGCGCCAAAGTTCAAAATCTCGTATCAATAAACTCTTCTAATTGCATCTTTCTCTCACTGTGAGTTTTTCAGATTGAAATATATATATACATACATATATACATATATATATATATATAAAACCTTGAACCAAATTTAGGATTCATGGTTGCAAAGCTGTTGGTTGATCACTTGATAAACAACTCCTTTATTGGTATTTGTGCAATCACATAAATGAAGATCAAAGTATGTGCAAAGCGGTGCAGAAAACATCTATTGTGTAACAATGGCTTCACCCTCATCAGAGGATATTACAGATGGTGCAGTGTGAAATGGGCTTGTATTTAATGACCATGAGGATTTCCTGGCCTGAAGTGATGGCTGGTTCATCAGCCATGTTAGGTTTCCAAGTGCATTCTTGCTTGAATTGTGCTCTTCCTGAACTACCTCTACCCATATTGACAATGCTGGAATATTTCAAAGGGAGCTGGCAGACTGGTGGAGATTTTACCAGTTAACCCTGAGCTTTGTGATCCAAGCTGTGTTGTAAGAAATGTTTGTATGCACGCTATATTAATACCGACCCAAACAATACAGTAAGGCCTATTTTGAAAGGCAACTTGCAGCCTTTACCATTTTTAATTAATTCATTGGAACTTTTGATTGCTTACATATCTCTACAAAAGAAACATCATGACATATATTTGTTGTCATTGACAAGGAGTTTTCAACCTATGTCATTTTTAAAGCGGCTATAATGTTACAGGTTGGCACAGGAAAGGATGCGTGGCATGGCAAAGTCTTGTCACAAACAGAAGCTGCTGTTTTAAACTTCCTCCTCATTTATCAGTCTCACAAACTCACAATCTGATGACACACTATTTGATCATGCTGAGTGCACAATCCAATATGTGGATAATATGTGATCTACCTGCAGATATGAATGGGATGCTTTGAGTGAAGAATTTTGTAGTTCCTCCTCTGCACTCAATTGCATATTGTTTGTAAATCACCATATTTTAAGAAAGCAAATTAAGCATAGTTACAGAGTGCTCCACAGGCAGAGCTTAAATGTTTCACAAAGCTGCTTTTTAAAAGAGTCCAGACTCTCAAGGCAACATAAAAACAAAGAAAGCTTGTTCAAAGGAAAGAATAATTACCCCCAAACATTTTCCCATTCACTCTGTAGAATGTAAGGTAGGTGTTGGTTTGAGTGCATATAAGGCTAATTTTAGTCTCAGTGGCTTTAATAACATTGCCAGGAGGCTGACCATGTACATCCCCCAAAGGTAAAGGAAAAAGGGATTTTAATATTTTATTTTTCTACATTTTAAAATAAATACCTAACTAGCCAAATGACATAAGAATAGTAGTGATAAAAGCTCTTCTGTTTGTTTGAGACAAAAATTATGTTGCAGATTTGGGCTGCAAATTGATAACATTTTTAATAATCGATTCAATTCAGATTAAGAATCAATAATTTCTTATCTGATCTGTTCTGATGTTAAATTGGACTGCTGTTATCAAAAACATTATTTATACCTGTTTTAGACTGTGTAGTTATGCAACATAATGATAAAACTTATATTTAATAAATTTTAACAGCAAATTAATAAATAGCAGTTAATGGTGCATGTTAGGGCAGTGGATATTTTTTTTTATTATCTTGAATCTGAATCAATCTTTAGGAATTAATATGAGAATTGATTCAGAATTGGAAAATCTATTTTTTTTTCTGACAGCAGCTGGGCAGCAGCTGATCCAGAACGCTGCTGCCCGTGTCCTCACTAAGACTAAGAAAGTAGAGTACATCACCCCAGTTCTAAAGTCCTTACACTGGCTTCCTGTATCTCAGAGAATAGACTTTAAAATACTTCTGTTAGTCTATAAAT